AATAGATAAACAAGATTACACTGTATAGCACAGGGAAATATACACAAAATGTTATGATAAATCACAGAGAAAAAAATGGGACAATGAGTGTGTATATGTCCATGAATGCCTGAAAAATTGTGCTGAACACTGGAATTTGACACAACATTGTAAAATGATTATAAATCAATAAAAAATGTTAAAAAAAAAAGCAGCCTTTCATGGTCTTTGAATTGAAATAAAGGATAAGATTTACTTTTAAACATCCAAAAGATATGGAAAAATGCAAACCACAACCCATTTACCTACATAAAATTTGTATCATTATTTCATACCTAGGAAATCAAGACTATGTAGCCTACAAATGGTCTAAAAAGCTGGCAATCTACTCTATTCAGAGTAAAATCTCTTGTATCTCCCTAGATCCCAGCCCTGGCATTGGAACAAGGTACACTAAGCTTGCTGTGTGCCAAACTGTTCTCTTACTCAAAAAAGTGGAGGTCCTAATTTCGTTGTCAGACTGTTTGATTCTTTTTTAAAAATTTTATTTTATTATTTTTAAAAATTTATTTTATTTGAGGGGGGAGTTAGGTTTACTTATTTATTTTTAGAGGAGGTACTGAGGACTGAACCCATGAATTCCAATGCTTTTTAAGGAATAGAGGTAATATACACACTTGAGATCACACTAATATGGCACAGCTGTTCTTGGACATTAACGATAAGAAGAATACTGAAATAGCAAAGAAGAGAGAAAGCCTAAAGGCTTAAACTTTATTAAAATATGATTTTCAGTTGTCTCCAGTTGTACTGGTTGAAAAGAATTGTGACAGACAATCAGGTCTCCTCAGTAGGCAGGAATCTCCCAGCCAGGTCACTGTACACACCTTCTGCCTAGCTAGGAGAGTTCTGACTAGGCTGCTAGGACAATGTAGGCTAAGAATGGACCAGAAGGTCTAACTCTCTGGTCTTTCCCTGCCTTCTACCTGCTGCTGACTACTTTGATACCAAAGCCCAGGGATAACTAAGTGTTCTGCTGGTATTCCATATCTTTGGACACAAGAGCCACCTATGATCACTGCTTCAATGTATCAGCCCTGTTCTTCATTCAGTGTGCCTAAAAATGATAATGAAGATGTGAATTCAAACTGTGGTTTGCACTTTTACCCGCTTCTGGGAAAACATATAAATCCAGGCCATAAAATGCTCCCTGACATTTCTCCACATGTAAATGTGTTTTTCCTGAAATGACATATATATAGAAATTTTGTGATTATAAACTTCCCATCACTCAATTCTGTAAAATAGATTTGTACACATTAAATGAACCACAGTACTTACACATAGAGATCCATAGGAAACTCCTTCATCATGTGTGTTACAATAAACTCTACCATCAGGTCTGAATGGGAAAAGGAAAAAATTAGATCAATCAGAATGAAATTCATTGCTTGCCTTTAAGTTGGAAAAAAAAAAACCTTCCCAGTACACCTTGCACTCATGCTGAATGGCATCCATCAACCACATCTTTATTAATGTGCACTTACATTTATTTTATATTAGGCACTTTTTGCAACACTTTTCAACACCTGCCACTTGTAACAACAAAATTAGTTCTGTCTCCTACTGCCAGAAGGATATCTTGACCTGCCAATAAACTCAGATACAAGGGAGATTTCATCATAGATATTTCATACCATGGAACTAATGCAAAATGCCAAAGGGAAATCATATTCTGAGACCCAAGTGTTGAGCAAGCTGAGAAAAAATTACAGATCACATCCGTGTAACCAGAGACTAAAACTCTAAAGCTATGTAAGTCTGTCTCATCTTGCTATCACACTCAGTTTGACAGATATTGACTGAAATGGTCTGTAGAGCTTTGGGTCAATAGAAGTTTATTATATCGTTCTAATTACTGTTTCTAAAATCAAGTAGATTTAGGAACTAGGGCTGGATATCCAAGTGAAATGAGATTAAGAGTTCAGATCACTCCCCTGAGGAAAATGCAGAATTCTAGGCAGAAAAAATTAGCTATGATACATCCCCCTATCTGTCAGCTCTGTCAATCTCATCTCAGCTTAATTTACTCAGAGGAAGTTTTGTATGTTTGAACCTTGAACTTTAAAGCCTCCTAGCCAGCTGACACATCAATTTAGACCAAGAAAAGGAAGGAATAATTTGAAATCTTGATCAGGAGTAAGATAATTTACAAATTTAAATCACATATCAAGCTTAGACTTAGTCATCTGTCTCCCTAGAAAGATCCTTTTCTTTTCATCAGAGCACCCTTTAATTGACAATTATATTTATTGAGATTACTTTACCAAACTCAACAATAAACATGGTTTCTGAGGCCAGGGAAGAAACATAACTAGTAACTTTCTTCACTGAGGAAGAAGAACATCAACCAGGATCTATCCTTCATCTTAATCATGAAAACCTATCACTGGCTCTGAAACACGCCAATCTTGATGACACTCACCGAGTACCGCACATACTAAAGGACGGCAGGGAAGATTCTTGTCTGCTGCCTTCTTCCTGTGTCTCATAGGCTTCATACAAAAAAGAAATTAAATTAGTAGACACCTGAAACAACAGCCAATGGCTCATTATCATTATCATGTTTTTCATGCAAATAAAATCACTACTACAGAGATGCTACTTTTTCTTTCTTTTTCTAGTGGTGGGGGTGGGGTGGGGCAGAGAGGACACGTAAATGCTTCTCAGTTTTCAATGCAGGCCTGTAACAAAAACACAATTCACAGCAAGACAACAGGAGCATACTATAATGAGACAGTTGTCGCTTTTACTTTGATTTTCTCTATACAAGTGATATTACTAACAACAAAAGAGGTATATTAGTATTTTTCTTTGATAAAATAATAATTAAGAAAAAGAAGAGGAAAAGGTGACTTTGTAGAGGCAGTAACAGTCATAGTTGCAAAAAAAACAAAAGAAAGTTTTCAGTATAAACCTCAATATGATATTTCTGAATGTACCTCCATGTTTTAGAAAATTCCCTGGTCCTCCATATTCTATTTCCCCCACCTCTCAGGTGAATAAATCAAAGTAGTACCTGGCATCAATCAATCAAAGATCATACTACAAACAAAAGGCTTAGGCCTATCTTCTTGTTGAAATCTATGTTACTGATAGATTCTAATATTACTGCCATGAGTATTACTGCTGTGGGTATATGGTTGTGGATCTTTCTATTCTCTCTTGATTAGGTAACACCTCCATGACACACAAAAAATCACAACAGGCATGGGTCTACTGAACAGCAGTCAAGCAAGAGCCCTTTAGCACAACTTTCCACCTGCATTTGTTCTAGTAGAATCAATTTCATCCTCCCCAATCCTACCAACACACAAAAAAATTTTCCCTACGAAGAAACAAGAAACAAAAGTCACACCTACCATTCTATGTAAATTTACGCGAAAATTCATGTTGTCGTCATGCAAAAATGCATTGGCATATTGATCCTAATAAAAATAAAAATATAGAGAAAAAGTAAGGAATGAAAGCTATATTTAAGAAACTCAGTTTATAATCTATCTATAATCTATAATCTTAAAGTCCAAGGATTTGCAGGACTTAAAGAACTCCTTTCAAGGACCAGTGAGAGAGCTCGTGGGATGAAGCCTAGAGCCTTTATGTCAATCCCTACTTAAGCCATGAGATTTCAGTTGGGTGTAATCTCCCAGTGTGTCTCTAACTGGCCAAAAATCTCTAAGCAAATTACAAACAATAAAAATTGAGGCATGGGCATTTAAGGCAAATGCTGAGAGGAATCTGTTTTCCTATTCTCTCTTTCTTCCCATCTGCCCAAGGAGCCTGCTCTGTTTGTGACAGCTTGAAGGTTCTCATAGGAACTGCAGGATGCATGTGCAAGCTCCACATGAGGATCTACGATTAAGAAGAAAGGTCTGCACTCGGCCGGGAATGGGTTTGGCACAGCAAGAGAATACTGCTTACACAGGCAGCGTGGCAGTAGGCAAGACCCCATCTATCCCTGGCTTTGCTGAAGACTGATGGAAAATCAAAAACCTCTCACCATGGGTCAGTAATAAACATCCCTTGGACCTTTCCCAATACCTGTTCTGAAGATCTGACATGCCTACAGACTCCAATTACTAGGAACTGTTACAACCTGTGAAAAACAACTCCTTTAAAGATTTTCTTGGAAAGACTTTTGAAAAGCAATTACACCCAGGCCCACTGCTAATAAGCAGCTCTTCTATAACCAGCTACCCCTAACCTGGTGAAAAGTAGGTCATCTTTCCACAGAGAACATAAAAAGGGAAAGACTGAGAGAGATCTCTACTCCATGTGGACAACACCTTTACTTTTTCTTAGGAGAGAAAAGATCAAAATAAGGAATAAGTGAAGGAGGAGGTTGAAAGTACAAATTTAGCTCTAAATTGACTCATTTTTTGGCATACCTGTGTTGCCACCAAGATCTAGGGTGAGTTCAGGCCCAATTAATCCAACCAAAAGTGCCTTCTTACAAAGCCAAAAACCTCTTCTTTTTTTCCCTTGGGCTCTTGCTCTTCATCAAACTGCAATCAGCCCACTTTACTCAGTTTCCAATTCCCCTCCTTGGCTTTTCTCTCTACCTCTCCCCACAGGAAACCTGAGCTCCTTTTTCCATTTTGCTAAATGCAAAAGACCAAACATGAACAGCTTCAAAGGAGCAGGCTTATTTTTTCTAAAGAGGCATAAGTCTCGTTTCAAACTCTTAAAAACTAGAATCTTTCAGTTCTCAATTATAGTAATTACATATCACAATTCATTATTAATTCATGCAGTAAATTCTAATTGAGCCTTTACTATGTGCCAGACACTAAGAATACACTACGAAGAAGACAAAGTACTATCGGAGTAGGGAAGAGACAATAAGATGGGGGAAGATTTTTCTCCCCCAAGCTTTAGGATTATAAAAGCTAGGGGATAAGAACTGGGGAAAAGGGCAGAAAGACAAAACACTTGGTGCAAGATAAGCTAATACCAGAAGGCTGGTGAGACCTACCTCTGCAATACACGTAAGGATAATCAGACAGAGTTTGCCACTGTGAAGTCGGTGCTCATCTGAAAAGAAAAAATAAACTCTTCTCTTTAAATCATCCAGACTATGTTTCTATAAAGAATAAAGATGTGTAGCATCAAAAAGAACATTCATACTTTCTTTCCCCACAAAACTCATGAATGAAAGTCAAGGTTCTACTAGAGTAATCCTTGCTTTTCTTCTAGGCAAAAGAATTGCCCCAGTATTTTTTTTAATACTCTGGTAGTCTGATGAACAGCTAACCACCATCCCGAGAACCATGTAATTATTATAATGTTTCCTATTACCATCAGGGCCATGCGCTTAGTTTCCATATCAGCCCTTTGCTTCTGAATAATCAGGTCCATTCCCTTTCCCACCCCTCCCCATCCATTAGCTATAAGCACCATCATCTTTACCCACCTACCACAAAATCTAGAAAAACTTTATACCTGTTCATGGCAAACTGGCAGTAGAATCAGAAAGAAGTTAACTGGAGACTAGGGTCCATCTCATACTTCTCTTGTACTGTGAATATTACTTATATATAACCAGGAAAGCAGAGAATTCTTAATCATTTTTCTTACTGCCTCTACAAATATTTATTTAGTGCCTACTATATGATGGACACTGTGCTAGGCACTAGAGATGTAGCACTGAACTAACCAAAAGTCTGTGGTCTCTAAGAATTCACATTCTAGTTATTAAGAAAGAAAGCAACCTCAATAACAGGGCTCTAAGCCCAGATGAATGACCAAGAAAGAGCTACTCTATCACTGCCAATTACCAGAACCATCAAAGCTTAATTACTTTTCAGGATCTTTGTGGGTGACAGGGTGAAATGGAGGAAAAAAGAGGGTCATGCCAGTATACCCAAAACAGATAAATGGCTTATGATGTTTCAAATTAGCTTTGATAGGACCCAGACTAAAGTCCATTCTGGAGAGATCTATTAGCAGACTACAGTGCTACAGAAGTTAGCTAATAGTACTCATCCTGACATTAACCTGTTACTTCCTCAAAGATGGAATCTATCAACTAAAATCTGACAATCAGAAGGCATAATGAGGGTTGTGGTCAAAGAAATACATTCATCTCTCCTCAGAGATAGGCCGTGCAAAACAGAAGTGATGCTAATCCCTATCTGGCATTCCCAGTGGCTTACACCAGAGCCCCTAGGCAGCCAGAAGAGAAATGCCCCTGCCTATGCAAAACTAGATTCATGAGACTCTTCCACCTACACTTGGACACAGGGTTTCTCTGGCACTATCCTCCCTTTCCCCAAAGCTCATAAACAACTCTTATAGAAAAGCCTGTAGTTATCTCTCCACTTATGAAGAAGAAGGAAAAAAAAAACTGTTTCTGAATATAAAAATAGGGCATATTTCATTATAAACACTTTTTTTTAATTCAGAAAAGCATAAAAAAGGATAATAGAAACCAAGTTTAATCACACTACTCAGACACCAATACTGTTAAAACTTGGGTGAATCAACTTTAAGTCTATGTATGCACAGATATACATACATATCTTTAATATTTTTGCCTAATGTCTATTTTAAAGATTAAGTATATATTCCCTTAGGGTGACAATACCCAAGTCAGAAGATCTTCAGGAAAAAAAGGCTTTGAAAGCAGAGCCAAATCAAGGAGATGATGAACACAAAATTTTGGAGAATGGTGAGGAGAGTAGTAACTGGGGAGGGGACACAAAGGTAGTTTTAACAGCATTAAGAGTTTCTTAAGTTGAGTGGTAGGTTCACATATGTTCACTTTATTATTATACTTTATGACCTATGCTATTTATTATGCTTATTATAAACTTATAACCTGATAGTCATATAGTCATATATATTAAAAGCATCTTTTTATAGGTATCAAATGATAGATATATAATAAAGAAGAAATAGTATTGAGAGGAGGGGGAGGAGGAACAGAGCCAAGGGAAAAAGTTGCTTCTATTGCTCCTAAAAACATAACGAGATCCTGTTAGCCAGGTCAGGATCTTAATCAAACGGAAGAGAGCTGGGCCAATGAAGCCACACAGGAGCCGTTTTTAAAATTAACTCTTCATCATACCTAATCATATTTAGGCTGCCATACATACCTTACCATATTTAGGCTACCTGTTGTCAAAGACCTAACCCAGTCTCAATTTAGAGAAATAGCCTGAGACCATACATACTGCAATTAATCTGCCCTCAATTTTGCTTTCCATTTTATGGATGGCAAAGTGACCAGGAAAGGGGTTTATATAATCATTAAGGCTAAAAGTGAGTTCCAAGGGCCTCAATTCACTGTGCTATATCAAGCAAAGCTAAAAGTTCATTTTCAGGGTCACTGCTATGCAGTTTTTCTCTTTCTGTGGTTGCTGCAATATGTCTAGAGAAAGGAAGAGGTTACCTATTTCCACAAAGGAGAAGCGATGGCCTCAGGAAAATACTGATAGACAAGAGTCTCGCTACCCTTGCCTGCCAGATCTCACTTGCCAAGTCTCAGAGGTTCACCATCTCTGCAGCTCCCAACGGAACTCTCTAAATTAGGAATCTGTGACATGGACTACTTGTATCCATCTCATCCCAATACATAGCTCTCTCTGGGAAGAGCATACTCACAAGGCATAACAAGAGAAAAAAAAATCAAAGATTACAAGACAAAGATCTCAAAAAGCTAATGCAGTATGTCTAAGTGTTAACAGTTTAGATTCTGTCTGCCCAGGTTCCTTTTAATTCTGGCAGTTCTTCATCTCTCATTTTTATCTTTTAGCTCTCTATCTCTGTCTACCACTGTTTCTTTCTCACTCCAAAAGTCCTCCAATCCTAGTCTTTGTAAGTCTATCATAAGAGGATAACTCTTATGCAGCTCTTGCCTTTCAGCTCCATTCTGGAATTCTAGGGATTGTACTTAATGTCACTGAACTATACACTTTAAAATGGTGAAAACGGTAAATTTTATGTTATATATACTTTACTGCAACAAAAAAATTGTAAACACTCATATAAATCCAGTATAAGGAAAAACTAGGTTAAAAAGAAAATACCTCCCCCTGCAAAAAAAAAAAAAACTGAAATAAATAATAAATAAATAAATGAAATATATAAAAAACAAACAAACACACACAAAAAGATATATAGACAGAATGTGCTGGGTTTCTTCCCAATCCTCTGTCACTCCTAGCCCAATTATTCCACTACCCTACCACCAATTAAAAGATCACAGAAAAATCATAAACAAAGGAAAAACAAAAAAACAGAATAAACAAACTTTTTCAACACCTACTTCTGTCCCATTTTCATTCTGCATTTCAGGGATGGGTACTGACACTCTGTTTTAAGTGTTAAAGAACACAGTCCCTCTGAATCTCACCTTTTCCTACTGTACTCTGTACAACAGTCCTCTAATTCTCACCAGGAGCTGATGCTTTCAGTCCTTGTCCTCAAAAGGGAATTCCCTGAAACATGCTAATCCCCCCACTTCCCATACACAAGAGTTTGCATCTACTTACCAAATCTGCTAAGAAGACTTGCTAGTTTTTGTAGAGATCAATTTTTTTTTCCTGTTCTATTTTGGAGCACTCCCCCTCCAGCTTCAGGTTTTCCCAACACCACCTAATTGCCATCTGGCAGTGAGAAATCACTGTCTTCCAGTAAACAGGACCACCACCTTACACAGGGGGCCCCAGTGGTTCATCTTGTCAAAGCTTCAAAGTATTAATGCTGCTCCTTGATCTAGCTAAGCAGCTGTTTACCACACCTCCTGCTTCCTGAGCCCCCGAAGCAGCATGCCTTACCTTTGGTGTCCTGCATGACAATCGAGCTATACTTTAAGAAGGTGATCAGGAGATTACTGGTCTGCACATCTGCATCTAGAGGGAGTTCCACAGAACTTATAACTGGAAGAGAACAGATGAAATGCATTTAGCCTATAACATATTACATCTAACACTTCTTCCCACAAAGCCAACTTGCCAGTAGGCAAGGAAATCACTAAACAAGCTCTTTCCACAACAGAGGAAGAACCAAGTGCTTCTTATGAAATGTTTATCTGCTCTTCCTAGGCCTCTAGAGCCCTTCCAACCCCCAAGATTAAGCCCAATGCCCTTCTCTCATATCTAAGAATGCCAGTCTCCAGGAATAGTGTTTTTCTCCCAACATCCTAAGAAGGCTAATTTGATTCTACTTTCTAGCCCCAAGTAACCCAAAAGGGCTCAAGGCCCATTTTAAAAGCACTTAAATTTGTACCTAAGGGAAAGATCTGTATTGAATATAAATGAGCCTTGCTTTGATGAGTCTACTGCTTAAAATAAACGACAATTCGTTCCTAACAAGGAAAAATCTTGCTCAATTTTGAGAATAAGCCTTTAGGCTGGAAATATTCAAACGGAAGGGAAAAAATTAAGGCAGAACTACATTCAAATTCTATTTCTTAGGTGAACTACATTCAAATTCTATTTCTTAATCCCTTCCCTGAAAGGGAACCTGATAAGGAATATCCAAATTGAAAATGAGTGGACATTATTGACTGGGACAGCCTAGGAACTGAGTTTTATATTCCTAGCTGCTTGCTGTTTCCAAGAGAAACTACCTCCACTCACAGTCTCTGAGCCACAGTCCCAGTGAACAATAAAGGACCAGACTTGGGCTGACCCACACAGGACAGACTTAATATAGATTTCCCAAGTTTCTAATACTTCAAATTAGACTTAGGCAACTTGTTAAGTGTTTTTACACTACCTAAAACATAATATAAGGGCAAAAGGTGGCTCATGATAGCCCAAACTAGAGAATCTATAGCTTTCTCTTATATTTTCACCTATGAAGACTGAGCTGAGTTTGGGAAATTATTCATGATATGTATTCATAACCATAATGAATCCCTCTGGAATTATAACAATGTATGCAGAGAACAGTTATTAACACTGGGATACATTTGCATATTATGGATCCATAATACACAGCAAGCACAGCAGAAGTCTTATGAGGAGAAATTAGCATGCCCAACCCTTGGCTGTTTTCCCACAATTCAGCCCCTAAGAACTAATAAAAGACAAATATATTTTTATGTTGAAATACTAAAAGGTCTTAATTCATTTTATAGGTAAATGACCTGAGACTGTCATTTCAAACTACAGCCTATTCTGAAGCTCAGAGCCCATAGTCATTCCTTTGTCCAATACAAAGAGGCATCTAACTGATAAGTGGGACTTTTTTTCCCACTCAAATGCAGCAATAACTGGAAAACTGTCTTATATAATATGTAGAAATATAGAAGTATATGTATTTTTAGTTTACCAGAAAAGTCCTGTCATGCCAAGGCTGAGTTGTCAAATGTCAAGTCTGAACTGAGAACAAATGTTACAGCTAAACTGCTGGCTTTTAAAAATAATGGCTCCAGTGGCATAACTTTAAATATAACTAGGCTACTCAGCACCAGTTATATTAAAAACCAATTAAAAACCAAAACTTGAAAACAGAGCTATAAAACTTAGGGCCCCTACAGAAAGGAAATGAGCTAGGAGAGAGGAAAAAGAACAACATAGAAAAGACAGAATAAAATCCCTCACAAATTAAAATCTCCTTCCTAAGGATAAGTTATTCCTTGATCTCTGGCTTCATAATTCTTCCCAGCTGCCTTTGTCAAAGGAGACAGCCATCTGAAAGTGGGCTGACTCCATCGTCCCACTAGAAAAAATAAAAGCTCACTGGTTGTAGGTAAGTAAGCACAAATCCTGCCATTGCATAATCAAGTGTGTGGGTGGAAGTGTTCACAATGAACAGTTTGAAAGGCAGTTCTCTGAAACATTGAAACCCTAACATCACATGGAACTCAGATAGATGTGTGTGTGTGTGTGTGTGTGTGTGTATAGCTTTTGATATCCACGGTAACCAAGCAGCCTTCATCCTTAACAAGAAAGAACAGTACTTCCATTGGATTATTCAGTGACCTGAATAAGCAGAGACAAGTAGAAATCCTACTACATGCTCCCCTCCCATGAGGATACAGGTATGCCCCACTTTTCAAAAGCTCATTTTATGTAAGCCATTTTGCTTTTTTAAAAAACCTACATTAGTACCTGTTTTCGCTAACAGAAAGAAATCCAAAGTGGATTTTCACTTTTAACACAAAAGCAAGAGTTGGGGAGGGTATAGCTCAGTAGTAGAGTGTGTACTTAGCACACACAAGATCCTGGGTTCAATCCCCAGTACTTCCATTTAAAAAACAGACCAACCTAATTACCTCCTCCAGAAAAAAAGGAAAAAAAAAGAAAAAAGGCAGAATGGGGAGGGGAAGAACAGGGGTAAGGAATTAAGAGGTACAAACTACTATGTATAAAAAAAAAAGCTACAAGATTATACTATATAGTACAAAGAATAAAGCCTATATTTTACTGTAACTATAAATGGAATATAATCTTTAAAAATTATGAATTACTATGTTGTACACCTGAAACTTATAAATGCTACAAATCAAATACACGATAAAAAAAATAATTTAATTAACTTTAAAATAAAAAGACAAATGATAACAAATGTTGGTGAGAATGTGGAGAAAAGGGAATCCTTGTGCAATGTTAATGGGAATGTAAACTGATTCAGCCACTAAGGAAAATTGTATGAAGGCTCCTCAGAAAATTAAAAACAGAACTGTCATATGATCCAGCAATCCCACTTCTAGGTACATATCCAAAGGAAATGAAAACAGGATATCAGAGATATCTTCACTCTCATTTTCACTGCCACGTTATTCACAGTAGCCAAGACATGGAAACAACCTAAATGTCCATCAATAGATGAATGGATAAAGACATGTATACATATATACACACAAGGGAATATTGTTCAGCCATGAGAAAGAAGGAAATTCTGCCATTTACAACATGGATGGAACTTGAGGGCATTATGCTAAGTGAAATAAACCAGAGAAAGACAAATACTGTATGGCATCACTTATATGTGGAATCTTAAAAAAAAAAAAAAGTCAAACTCATAGAAAAAAATTGTAGAAAAGTGGTTGCCAGGGGCTAGGAAGTGGGAGAACTAGGGAGAGGTTGGCTAAAGGGTACAAACTTTAAGCTATAAGGTTAATAAGGTCTGAAGATCTAATGTAAAACATTACGACTCTGTTGATAACACGATGTTGCATAACTGAAATTTGCTAAGAGAGTAGAACTTAAATGTTCTCACCCCCTGCAAAAAATAAAAATAAAAAGATAAATATGTGAGGTGATGGATGTGTTAATCAAAGAGATGGGGGACTCTTTTCACAACGTACATGCATATCAAGTCACCACCATGTGCACTTTAAATATCTTACAATTTTATTTGTCAAGTAAACCTCAATAAAGCTAAAAAAAGTTTTAAGTATATATGTTCAACTTTTTCTTTTTCAAATTCAAGCAAAGAAAAATATAGGAAAAAAAATCCTACCACTTATTAACTAGAAATGAACTTAACAAGAGACAAGAGTTGGGGTGGGAGGAGAGAAAGAAGAAAGCCAAGAAATGAAAATAGCATTCAGCATTTGTTTTGCAGTGAGTTGTAATAGAGGCAGTAAGCACCACAAGCAGTGAGAGTGACACCACCAAGTTCCTCCACCAGGAACTATACTCAACATCTAAGAATCAAGCTGAGAACTGTGTGAGCATCTGTGCTTTATCTCAATTTACTTTGTGCATCTGTTAGCAAGATGCATCCTAAGGTATTGTTTCTTTGCTTTACATCATTTCAGCTTACAGCAGGTTTCATAGGAGAGCTCTACTTTCAGATAGCTGGGGAAATCTGTATTTTGGAATTTGACTTTCAATTCTAAACAGCTCCAATTTGCTACCATAGACTTGAATGGCACCGCTCTGTCATGCTTTTGTACCAATACTGCTTATACTACCTTAAAATGTTGCTGCCACTGGTGCTATATAAAAGTTTAAAGAAGAAAAAGCAGATCAAAGAAGGTCATTTCACATATAGACGATAGAGAGGCACAAAGAAAGGATCAAAGCTAGATTTCCTGTACTTCTTTACCCAAAATGAGGTCAATATTTGAAGCAAAACATCAAGTATTAATGAAGATTATTTTTAGGTTAAGGTACTCCATCAAACACACTCAGCTGACAATAGAACCAACTCAAGTTGACACAGTTTATTAAGAAAAATTCATAATTTCTTTTCTGTTATCCTTTTCTTATGTTCCAATGATAAGATTTTTAAAGTGGAAAATTTTTTATTTTTTTTTTTAGGGAGAGAAGTCTTAAATACCCACCAAACTCCCAATTACTATGTCCTTGTTGTTTCCTAACTGGAAGTGGCTGGCAGACATATAACAGTGAGCAAATATCAGGTTCACTTTCTCATTCATTTATTCAACAAATGTTTACTAAGCAATGACCATGCCAGACACTATCCTGGGCATTTAGTAGCGAACAAAATAGGCATGGTCCCTGCCCTGACCCATGTCTCGGTTCTTAGTCTCAACTCTCACTAACCTTTGGCAAACTACTTATTTCTCTGGCCTCAATTCTCTCATTTGTCAAATGATAACATGAGATAATATTATTATTTTACATTTATTTCAGTGAGGTATACTAAAATGTCTCATCTGAGCCTCACAAGTACCCTGAGCGTTTGGCAGGACAGGCATCACTGACCTCTGAGGTCCCTTTAGATTTAGCATTCCCTGATTCTACGACCATTCCCTGAGGAGGACAAGCTGAAATTATATAGCTTGTTATACACAGAAAAGCACTTGACTATCTTCTTCAAAGTTTTCTTTGGAGCTTCAGAAATTCTGAAGGACAATTCTTCAGATAATTCCTTGAGCGAAAGAATTAACAATTGTGGGTTTTGTTAAAAAAAAAGAAAGCTATGCTCACCCCCTAGAGATTCAAGATCATATTAATCAGGATAACAAAAGAGGTAGTGGACTTACCATCAGAGGAGGGTGGTGTGGTCCCAAGTGGTGTGGCTGGGGTTGTTGGAGCAGGACTGACAGGGGTTGTCACCAAGCCCATTTCTGGATGACTCTGAAAAAGAACACAGATAAGGTTAAGAAAAGAGAAAATTCAGTTCTGGGTATCCTCTGCTTATCCTTTCTGGTATTCCTGGCCTCATAATGAAACAGAAAGCTCACTGAGGAAGGACTGCTTCTACATTTAGTTCCCATGAGTACCTGATCACTGTTGATGCTTGCAAAACTCTAATAAGAAGCTCTTCAGGCTAGTTTTCTTTAAGCAAATACGTTCCCATTACATAAGTTTTCTGCAGAACCATGTGAATAAAAAACTAGGATAAACAAATACACAGGATTATCTACCCAAAAAAAAGGGCATTTGCAGTCCTATCTGAACCTGGAAAGGAAATACTCTTAGCAGATCAACCTAAAACACATCTATAGACTATTCTGATGACTACACAGTCGACTAATAAATGCAGGTGAGCAAAGGGGATAACAGGTACTATTAAAAGAGCTATGCAGAGGACAGCCTTCTTGTTCCACAACAAGAGTGTGTAGCACAGTGAGGTAGAGACACAGGGGGAGACATCCATTAGGGACCAAACCAGATGACTCCCCTTTCCCTTACCTTCCTTAGCCATCCTGGCCATATTAGCTCTTGAGAAATAGGCTGAGAGATGGCTACTCGCTTCTCTTGCCCAACAGCTTTACGAGACTTTACCTTCCTCATCTCTTCCTTTAAAATCAATTATGGAATTTAGAGAACAGACAAGGAACATCATGAGAATAGTGGATAAAGTCTCATGTTATCAGTTGTGAAAAGCCTTACGTGCCTCTGAGGAAGACCCCAACCAGCACACTGCTTTTTTGACCTTATTTTTTGTTGTTGAAACCCAGTGGAGCCCATACACATCTGCCCTCTGAGGGAAAAAACATAAGCAACCTTTCCTTTAAAAGAAACCTTCATACATATTTTAAACAGTCTGGTTTTAAAATAAAAACACTATCAATTTTTAAGACAGCTTTCATGGGCAGCACTTGAGTTCTCAGCCTATTTTAGTTTCCTTCTGGACCAACTACTGAGGATATCCCTTAGGCAAGCGACCCAGTACTCAGTATGCTGTGATTTCCAGCTTACAATATTTGTAGACCATTTTTTTTTTCTGTTAACAGCGAACCGTATGCAGCAAAGGCTATTTTGTACTTTTATTCTCTGGAAACGGGTGAGATAATAAGATAAGTGACGTGGCCTATTTTATCCCTGGTTGTAATTCCATAGAGGTTTAGAAAGCAGAAAGCCAGTTATAAAAATCCATATGGGCAGATAACACCAAGGGATTTCCAGAGAGCAAAATGAAGTAATTTCAACTCACTTGAGTTAACAGAATCGGTAAATTGGTCAAAATCCCTAACTTTGCATGTTATCAGACCCACTTCAGCAGCAGATAGAAACACACATATTAAGGAGAACATGAAACCAAGGCAACTGAGGCAACTCTGTTACTATCACTCACCAGTGCAAAGCAGGTTTTACATGGGCACAGCCAGACAGACTTTTCAATACAGTGAATCTGTATGAAATTCAGGGAGAAAAAGGATTGAAGTTTTTATATAACCAACCTGGGCTAATACCGTGATGAAGTTGCGATTTAAATGAACAGCTTCATAAAGTGCCAGAAGGATGGCCTCATTTGTTCTAAAGAAAAAGAGAATAAATTGAATAGTCTCCTATAGTGGAGGAGTTAAAACAGTAAAATCATGAAGATAAGATTACATCCAGCTCCTCATTATAAATCGCTTTGAGTTTCCAATGTTCTCTGTATTTCCTTTTTGGGCGTTTATAAAGTGTACACAGTCAGAGCCTTAACTTTAATTCCTTAGAACTAGTTATCTACTTCATTCACTATTTTCCCCCTCTCACTTTTCCACCCAAAGCCAACTGAGTCCTTAACTGGCTCAGACACCCAGCCCCCTTTCATTTCATTCCAGAGACAGCTGGGAAGTTATTCTTATTGGGGCTCAGTACATGTGACCAAAGTAGAGGTTTGTAAGGTTCACTATCATTTAAAACTCAAGAAACATTTGATAAATCACCAAAAAAGTTAGAATCTGTAAAAGATTAGCAGAGGTAACATTTCCACTTTCATATCCATCAAGAGAGCCCACACTAAAGTTCAAGTCAATGCACAAGAATTTCAGGCACTTACTGTACTGAGATTTTCTCATGGGCATCTGCTATGAACATGCTGCCTACCTGTGGAAGAAAGGGGCATTGCATACTTATAACAGGGAAATGTGAGAGGAGCTTGGTGCCTATGAAATAGCCTTTAAATAGTGAAAAAACAAACTGCTTGCAGTCCCAGGGAACATGGAACTCTGGCCCACCAGTCACACACACCAAAACCAGCTCACTCTGAAGATCTTAAAAGAATCATAAGTAACAAATGAAATAATGAGAATTCCTTTAAATTGTCTTTACTTAAAGGGAGTTGTTTTTTTTTTTTTAATTCTAGTAATTTGGTCCAGCTCTACATTTTATGTGCAAATTTAGTAACCACTGACAGCAAGTAAATGTTAACCTAGACATCCTCATCACTGCATCTTTCCTGGAAGCTGCTTATTTGAAGTCAGAAACTAACTCACAATGAACATCACAGAAAGCAGGCTGTTCATCCCCAATTTCATGAATTGTCTTCATGAAAATACTTGGGTTTCAGACCAGAACTGTCTAATTAAGACCCACTGTCCATCTTTCACATCATAAAATCTTTTGTTTGTGTCCTAGGCAGAGCAGCTGAGTAACTAAATGGAGTAGGTTGCCTCCAATACGTGAGATATCAGAGGCACTGAGATAGGTGCCCATCCCTCTAAATATACCTTTTCCACCTACATAATGATGCCCAAAAGAATGCAGCTGGAGCTTCATTTGTTTGGTACAAAATTTTTCATCTCTGTTAAAGAGCAAAGGTCTCTGGATGCAATATAATTATATCTAATACATTAAACAAAACACCAATACAGCACTCACACTGCTCTGACATCTGAGGGACTACCCATTTATGCTTCACAGTTAAAGAGTTTATCAAGTCCTTTCCTTGAGAACAGGCTCTGAGAAAGAAGGCGGCAGAGATATTGAGGGAGGGGAAGTTGCCATTTGGGGAGAGGGAGCGGGAGATTGCTACTTCTTACAATGAACTCAAAAACTGCCCTAGGGCTGATTACTTGAATAGTAATGCCCAAGAAGACAGACTTTCTGAATCTGCCTAGGTTCTAAGACCTTCCAGATTTATCTCTTAAAAATTAGTCCCAGATTATCTGGCCCAAAATGCCTGTAATGTCAAGGTTGATAAACCTTGCTCAGAAGTCTTACAAAGTGAACCAACCATGGTTCAAACAAACCTCCTCAACCATGGACCTCTCAGTCCAGACCCTAAGCCTTTAGAAGAGTGGCTCAGATCACTGCACCAATTCCTCAACTCCAGGACCAGCTACAAGAGATGAAGGGGGCAAAGCAGACAACCAAAGATGACTCAGGGTTGGACAGAGATCTAAACCCTCCTATTCTGTGTTTCATAGTGTCAGTCCTCAAATAAAGCCAACTCTTAGGAAGCAAAAGTCTGGCTTAATATGAACCTTTTCTTTTAAGCCTTTAAAAAACTGAATTAATTAACTTGAAAAAATCAGTCCCAGACAAATCAGAGCTCTTCTTTCCCCTTTCTCACTTGGGTTTAGAAATCACTAAGAGATACAGCTCTCAAAAAATCTGCTCTGAGCAGCCTCCCTCCCCTCATCATGCCTTCATCTCAAACATCTAAACTTTTGAGTCCAGATTTGCCCACACCTGCAGATCTCACAGACTTCTGAACAGGAGAGGAAAAACAAGTAGATGTTCAAGACTTACCATATTTGTTAAAGCAGAGAAAAAACCACTCTGGTGTTCTTCTTCCTTGTCTTTATACTGCCTGAATAAAAATAACTAAATTCAACTTTAGGATTATTTATCACATATGTCTTTGTCTTTGGCATACTAAGTAAGCAGGGCAGCTCACTTGCAGAATTCACTGACTCCAGAAAACAAAAGTGTTACAACAATCTAGCCACCGCAGTTTCCCCTGCAAGCTAAGAGGCGCCCATCTGCTCTTGAGGTAATGTGCACCAAAGTGCCTGGCTACTTTGGGAGAGACTTAGAAAGCAAGCTGCAAAAGTGTGAAACTGCTCTAACATATGGCTGATCCAGTTATTTCCCAAGCAGACTATTATTTGAAAAGTGTGACAGTAAAATTAGTTTAAGGCTGTAAAAGTGAAAATCTTGTTTGTTTTTGAAGGAAGAGGAGGGAAATCTGTGAGTTAAACTATTTGTGGAGATAGAACAGATTTGAAATTCCAACACCCAATTGTGTGTGAGGAAAGTCTGGAAAGGAGTAAGAAAGATCCTGCCTGGCCCTTGCCAGGATTAGACATACTTCTGGTTCTCATTCACTGAATACCAGATCCTTCCCCATCCCCAGCAAGAGGGAAAGCAGGCATCAATGAAAAGAGCCCTCAGAATAGACAGGAACCCTGGGAAGCTACAGTTGATTACTGATGCAAAAAAAAGCATCTGTCAAACTAAAACTAATTCAATGCTTTCTCCTTTTATTTTTTTAAGCATATAAAGAAGCAGTGCTTCACAACCTTTTTTACATAGAAAATGATATTTGTATGACACATTGGGCTAAGTGGAAGAGCCTATTTATGGCTGAAAAAGTAGTTTAAATGCTCTGCAATAAAATACCAAAGGTTGCAAAAGAATGTCTGAATGTAAGAATTGCTTGAACAAAAGATGGACACTAACCTGGTGGCTACTTTTTCCCTAGTGTTAGGAGTAACTCCTGCTAAGGTCATCAAGACAAGCTAGAGCAAATACAAAGGCTAGCAGCTGCACCTCTGAATATTCTTCTAGGAGAGGTAAGGGACATTCACCCACAAATGCTAACAAACCTGTTCCTACTCAACAAACTCAAATGAAATTTAGACCCTTCCCTTCTGGAAAGGTGTACTTACCTGTTGTACTCAGATAAAGCCTGAGCAATCACAAGCCCCATTCCCTAGAGAGAAAAAACATAGCACAGGTGAAATAAGGGGCTAGTGGCAATGCTATGACTAGACCAGGGAAAACACTAATCACAGCCCCATGGTCAAAGCCCAAGAAGTTCTACCTGAAAATTGGTGACAAGGACAGAAATTCAGAGAGACATTATCAAAGGATCAAAAGGAACTTCTCTGGAAAGATTTTTCTGGTCTAATGATCTTATTTAATGTTTCCAGATAGAATTAAAATAGAGTAACAAGAGGTGAGAAAGACCAGCCCAGGTCACTGACCATTTCACTGGGACCATTCTCACCTCAAAAGAGAAGACTGAGTTAGAAGCTTCAAACAAAAAGCTTTCAAATGTCTCTAAAACACCCACAATAAAAGTAATAATGACTCTACACTGGAATTTGACACAACATTGTAAAATGACTGTAACTCAATAAGAAAATGTTTATATATATTAAAAAAAAAAACTAACAACGAGTCCCATGTGAAATGAAGGTGCATACAGACAAGCCACTCTCAGGGCACAAGAAAATAGGAGTGTAATGGAGAAAAGCACTCAATAAATGTTAAAGTAACTTATCAACTTTCCCTCTAGAACCTGCTAAGCAGTATCACAAAAATCAATTAAGGCCCAAGGATGAATCAATCATGTGTGCTTTTTTTTAATAAGAGAGATTAGAAGAATGAAGAGGGCAAGATGGAAAGAGAATAAAGCCAGACACCCGGTCATTTTCTTCCTTATATTCAGAGATCAGATGTTAATTCCCAAACTTTCAAGGATATATGTAGCAGACACATATCCTCCTCCATGTTTCAGCTTCACCAACTCACGCTATAATTAAAATCAGGCTGGTTCTACAAGAAGGACTCTCCCAACATTTAGTCGTCTAAGCCTTCTTTTTTTTTTTAATTTCAGCTTTATTGAGGTATAACTGACATGTAAAATTATAAGATATTTAAAATGTACATCATGGTGATTTGACATACCATCTAGACCTTCTTATTCTTGGAAATGTAACTTCTTGACTCTGTAGGATAACCAACCTTAGCACAGGAGAACATGAAATATAATGACCATTTCATCGTGATTAGCAAGCAAATGTCTCTTCCAGATGTCTGTTCCATGATGAGGAGATAGAAAACAATAAGACAATAGCACTGATGCTCTAAAAAGAAAGACAAATTCCCTCTTTATAGCCAGATAAAATTAACACAACAGCTCTCTACTCTCTGTTCTAAATATCCACTGAAATAAGGTCACCAAAGTCTAGTAATTAAAGCAATACACAGGATCCATATACTCACATTGAGTGTGGCTTCATCATCCACAATAGATAGCTTCACAATATAAGGATTCACAGACTGTTAAACAAGAGAAGAGACTCTAGGTGAGTGTGACCTAGTTAAGAACCCATTAGGTATTTAACAAAGTGTTAACAAAAATGCTTCTATAAGGCCCTCTCTCTAGAGTGATGCTCCTAATACCCATGCCCAACTATCTTGCCAGTTGACTTACCCCATTTCCTGTAAATCTCTCAGTGTGCATGGGCATTCACCAAGCACACACACAGATACATGGATACACACACACACATATGCACGCACGTGTGTGTGCACACACACACACACACACCAGTTCTGTTCTACTTGCATTTCCTTCTAGACTGAATCAGCTCAGGCCTACATCTGCCACTTCTCCCTTCTTTCCCTCTTATTTGTTTCTAAGAAGTAAGTGAATACTCCACAAAACTCACTTTTGTCCTATCCTGCCAATAATTTACTGAGTCCATAGGGACAGCTGTCTTTGGGGGGACATTAAAAGCTTCCTTGCCATAAGGCACAAATTTATAAGTTGCTAACGTACATCCCAAAGGCTCCCTAACCATTCCACAAACTATGTGCAAGGACTGATTCACCAGCCCGTAAAACAAAGCCACCTTGGGGGTGGAAAGTGGCAGCTGCTTAACAGCCAGAGAGGCCATTTATGAATCCAATACTCAAATTACACTGCAGGGGAACTGAAAATAAGATGTGATTATCCAAAGTACAATCTGGTCAGGACACTGGGATAATGATTGTTCCATCACATATAGCATTGGAAGATTTCTTGAGTTTTTCCAGATTCAATCTCAGCTGGGCAGCATATGGAAATGGACACATATTTAAACCCATTAAGTAGTTGGGCCATCTCCTACTGGTGGGATGAGAATCAATGATCTGCTCACTTATGGGATGTGAGGAAAGACCTAATAGAGTTCAGGCACCAATTCTAACCCAAGGGAAGCAAGAAACAATAGTTCTCAGGTTGGCAGTTTTTACAACAGAGAAAACTCATTACTGAGAAACTTGAAAACCCAACTGAAAGGCTAACCTCCTCCCAACAGACTTTATTTAATCAAGTTTCTGAGGGCATTTTTTGAATGTCAAACGGGAACAGAGAAAGAGACAGTTTGCTTTCTTAACAGCCCAAATGTTTCTAAGGTTTTCTACAACACAATTCAAGGAGGTAAAACCCACTCCCATTTGTTACTTGATCTGACAGAGGAAGGCTCTCAACATTCTTCCTAAAACTAAGAGTCAAATCCTGCTGATACTATAGACTTCAGACAAGATTCCAAGCAAATGGATTTTTGGAAATGAAAATCAGCAGCAGGCTGATTTTGAGATGCCATCATGATGAGAACAACACTAGAAGGAGCAAGCCACTGTCTCTTGGCACAATTTTTGCAAGTTCTAGTTACTTGCCTTCCCAAAAGTAGACTGTCTTAGGTAATAAGGATCATCTGATTACCAAGAACAGTCCATGCATTAGCAACAGCTGAGAAAAATGCAAAGTGGCTAAAATCAAGGGCTTGAGTTCTAGCTCCTCTACTTATTAATTTTGACAAGTTAGACATGTCAACTAATCTAAGGTCAATTCTCTCATCTGTAAAATGGGGGATAATATTTTCTTCCTTGGTGTTGCTATGAGATGTAAATCAAGTGAAATCTTTAATACAGTATCTGGCATATGGTAAGGGCTCAATAATTGGTAGCTATATTTTTTCTCCTTTGACATTTTTATCACATTCAAAGGAAGCTCTTGAGGGGAAAAAAAGAGAGAAAGAAAAAGAACAACTTACAACTGGACATAATAAACAATTCTGTAATTTCTGGGAAACATTATGTTCAGGGCAGCAGTTGGAGACTGAATCACTTCATCAATTCAGGGAGACTTGGCCAAACTAGAAGGCCAAGATCTTAATGCTATGAAAATTTCTATTCTACCAGACACTGATTTTCCTTAACACTACATACCTGTGGTGCTGGTCATGTTTTAAAACTCAAGGCAATTTACTATTCAACCACAAGACAGAATTACAAACTCAACGAGCCTTCACAGAAAATCACTCTAATAGGGTCCTGCCTTTATTTGATCTAAAACATACTTAACAAATTTCATTGCTCTTCCCTAGACCTTTTTTTTTTTTTTGCCTCCTCTACCTCTTTAGATGAAATGACTAAAATGGAATACATTATTTAAAGTGAGGAAGAATTACTGCCAATCCTTAAGTCCAGCACCTAATTTGTCTTTTCTGTGTTTAGCTGGGCACCAAGTCTCTCTGGTGCCCTGAGCACCTTTCTGGGAAGGTTACAACTTACTTCATTGGTCATAGGATCGATTGTGGTGGTAACTAGAATGCTATTCTCCCTAGCACATACCCTCCCATATTCCGCATAAAACTTCCAGTTTTTGGGTTTGCTGTGTTCATCTGAACTCCTCATGCTCCTGTCAAAAACCTTCCTGCTCCATGGTCACCAAGTTTCCCTAACAGTTTCTCGTGAGTGACTTATATCACAAGCTGCAAAAGCCCAGATAAATTATGCCCACCAGTCTGCCCCTGCCTACTATACTAATTCTTCTGGGGCTTCTGACAGACTAGAGATGCATATCCCACTCCAGAAATATGATTTTCTCCAGTTCCTTGGCCATGTCCAATTTTTCAGGCTGACATTTCAGGAAGTCCTACTGGGCTAAGCCTGGTTTCAGTTCACATTTAGAGAAGCCAAGTCATTGCCTCAGACTGGCCTACATCCAGCAGAATGTTCCAAAAATATTCATTACTGATGATGGTGCTTTCCTATCACATATAACTCAACTCTCTTTAACTATCTTCGGTATTCTCCCTTGGCTATTTTTCTCATTGTTGTAATAAAGCCCCAGAGTCTATTACACATGACAGAGATCAAGATGGCTACCATGCTGGCCCCTCCAGATCACCAGTAAAGCAGGTGTTGGTGATAAATTACATACTTATTAGTAGCTCTGTACACCATTCATCAGGTCCCCCAAGCAATGAAAGCCATCAGCTTCTAGGATTTATAATAAATTAACATTCCACATATTCCAGTCCCTCTAAGTATTCCTCTCTTACAGCCTCCTCTTCTTTCATATCTCTCCTTATAAGAATAAGCTCCAGATTTTGTTACCCATCACTTTTGACCTGACTAGGAATCATATCCAAAAAATCACTAAGTGAAGATCCAGGAGCTCAAAAATGAAAATCTCCCCTCATAGTATTGCTAGTCCATTTCTCATAGTATTGCTACTTATTAGAAAGTCAGGTTGCCTTGATGCAGTTCCTGATTTCTGGGTTCAGTAAAGTACTCCTAGTATCCTGGACTCAGTGCCAAATGCCCCCTATTCCTCCAAAGCAATCCCCAACGAGGCTCCTGATGTGCCCTAAGTGGCCCCCTTCCTCTTCTATGTATTCTGCCTTTTGAGGGGACTCAAGTAGATGTACTACTCCAAGTATAAATCTCTGAGTTCAGCTCTTCACCTCAAAAACCTATTAAGCCGTCCCTGACTAATTCAGAGGCAAAGAGAACTCCAGAATTATTATGGGTAAGGCCCTATCTTCAATTGCCATTAAAATCAGAGAGAGTCCCCAGACCGACAAGAGATACTTTACACAAGTGGATTGCATTAGGGAAATCCAATATGTAAGTCCAATCTTTCAAAACAGATGCATTTAGTCAGTGGTTCACACCTAAGAGATTCTGATTTGGTGTGTCAAGAGAAAGACCCAGAAATCCCTTCTTTTGAAAAAGTTCCAAGGTGATTCTAGTAATAAGGTGGGTTTGGGAACCACTACATTAAGAGATACTTACTCATTTTATTAGAAGTTACACCACAGGATTCCTTTAAACAGCTACATCCTCTATCCCAGGCACCTAATACAGGACTTCTAGAATGTATCAAAATTAACCTATATACCATTTACTAAGAACATGTCTTCTACATTAAGCCAAGTCCTCTAGGAGTGGCCACATTTAGGAAGATTATAGAAAGATAACAGCTGCCCATTAAGGGAGCCACTTACCTCATATTTTCTGTAGTTCACCAGCAAAGCCAAGAGGACTACAGCATCATAGCCATGTTCCCTACGACTTGGGGGGTGGGAGAGTATCTGTAACAAGAACCAGACATGATGACAGTGCTTGAGGAGGTGGTTTACCCAAAAGAGAAAGAGGAAACTGCCTTACCTGCAAAATTGCTTCAAATATGCTGTTGATCATTACATACTCCAGGATAGTGTTCTGGCTGATGTTATCGGTTACCTGAATACAATAAAAGGCTATTTAAAGTCTATACTGAGACACTCTGATATCATATATATCTCCTCCCCGACTATCTAAAAGAAACAGAAATGTTAAACATCTTACTAGATACTCAGTAGACCTTTCATAAGCACTCCTAAAGCCACCATAGCCTAAATAGACAGACACTAGAAGGATAAGAAGTTAGCAAATTAAAGCTTTTTAATCTTAGAACGTTTCATTATTTCTCTTATACCCTCACATAAGCATTGGCTTAACAGTTTCTTGGATTTCATTTCTGAAATGAACAGGAAGAAGTTTATGATCCAGAATCTTCAAGCGGAGGCAGGGAAAGGGAACCAACCACCTGACGTGAATGAATAATATCCTGCCCTCCTCCTACTAGAAGATACAGGCCAGCCCTCCCCCCCCATAAAATCAGTCAGGACAAATAAAAATATTCAGAATTACAAAAACTGTTTCCAAATGAGACCTGATGAGAAGGGCAAAATCTGGCAATCCAGAAGAGGGTAGTTCTCCGTATAGGTTAAAAATGCCAGTAGTTGCCCCAAAGAGCAGGAAGCAAAAACCCATGCAACTAACTTCCTTCTATATATTCAAATACAACAGAGTGATGTAATGGCCCAGTAGAGACGTGAGAGATGTTTTTTTCTCCTTTCCTTGCTAACTTTAGGCTCAAATATTCACATTTGCCCCTACTGTGGATTAACACCCTTGACAGAGAAACATATAGAGGGGTCACTTACAGTCACTAAGCAGAGGAGAAGTTTCAGACATAAACTCTTCAGACTTTCAGAGCCTTCTGCACAAAGCAATGAGTCCAAACTCTCCATCAAGTTCTGAGAAAGAGCACCATTAAGTATTAAACCATATCAAATAACATCTCCACTGTGTCTTTTTCCAACTCTGCATTATATTACACAGAGTAATGTGAATAACATAAAATGAAGTAACCATATTATTCCCTGAGGCCTACCCCCTTTTAAGATTAGACAAAGAAAAGGAAGACTTTTAAGTTTAGCTATTGTGGGGAAAATGCTCTAGAACAACTGCACAGAATAACAAAGTTCACTATTCTACCAAATTAATGTCTGCAGCCTGTCATCCTCATACAAGCCTTTGGATTTGATTGAAGTAAATTTTTTAAAGATTAATAATAATGGTTAAATTAAATAATATACAAATTAAAAACAATAAATAATAAACTAAGTAAAATTAAATTATATCAAATAAATTTAAAATAATAAATTAAATAATTATATTAAAGGTTAATAATAATGGTAAAATAACTAGGTATGTTTCATTATTTGATGAATAAAGCATATCACTTGATGCAGACACAATGAACAAACAACACAGACAATATCACTACGAGCTAATCACTGGCCACAAGCACTATGCAACAAAGCTAGCTCATGTCCATCCTGGTCAATTCTACCAAATAATGTGACTGGAGTTTATCAGCTGTACTGACAGCCAGCTGTTAGAGCCAATGTAATCAAAAGATAAAACCCTTAGATATGACAATAGAAGGAAGAAAAAAAGAAATATCCCAATTAAATGAAGCAGAAAAGTGAATGGAGAATAAGGATTTAGCATGCTGGGAATTCAAGCAAAGGTTCAAAATAAGCTACTTAAGTTCAATTCAACATATACATAGTGAGCATCTATTATATGCTAAATATTGTGCTTCCAAAGAATACAAGAAAAATACAAGACAATGACCCTTGCTCTCTAGGCAACTCCAGTCTAACAAGAAAGAAAAGTACATAAATAGTTTTAATTTAATGGTTACTATGACAAAAATATACATGGAGGAAGGGAATTAGGTCAGAAGTTATCTATTTCAGGACGCCTTGGGGGCAAGTTGTATTTTGAAAAATCAGTAGGAATTAATTAAAACTTGAGGAGGAAAGGAATTCTAGACAGGCATGAGCATAATCAAAGACACATGAGGAATGAAATGGCCCTGGGTGTGCAGATGGAATATGAGTAGTTTGTTATTATGGAAGCATAAAAAGTGAGGCACTGTGGTGAGAGATGAGATTTGAGAAATAAATAGGAAGTAGATCATGCAAGTTTTATAAGGCTAACGAGGGAGTTTGGTCTTTATCCTTTTAGTGATAGGAAACTAACGAAGGGTTTTAACCAAGAAAGATTTGAGTGTTAAGATACATCACTCTGGTGTCAGTGTAGATGACAGATTTAAAGGTGGTAAGTCTGGAAGGAGGGAGACAAATGAAAGCTAATCTATCAATTTTCTGAGGATCGTTGCCATGTATTATTTACCTCTGTATCCCCAGTGCCTGGCACGTAGGAGCTCAACAAATGTTTGTCAAAAGAATGAATTAAGGCATTACTGCAATAGTTCAGGTGAGGGATAATAGAGACTTCGGCAGTAGGGGAAAAAAAGAAAAGAGAGATATGACAAATATGAGCTAAGGTAAAATTAGCTGAACATGGCGATTGTCTAGATATGAAAGATGAGGGATAAGAAAGAGTCATGGTTGACTCCCAGGTTTTTGGCTTGGGGAACTGAGAAGACAGGTGCCCCCATTCTGACAGGAAATGAATAAGGAAGAACAGATGTAGGGAAAACAATGAGTTCCATTTTGGATATGCCAAGCAAGAGGTACTTAGGGATGTGTGAGTGGATACATTCAGCAAGTGCTTACAGAGAACAATTTTGAGACTCAGGAGGGGATATTAAGGCTAAAGATAGAGACTTGGTAATGAGCAGCATAAAGGCAGAAGTTAAAACTGTAAGAATGAAAAATGATATCTGGGATTTTACCATGGTATATATGGCTTGTAAAAGGCTAGAATTAAAAATTGACTCCGGTACTAAATCTTCGTGTATTCCTAATTGTATATTCATAACATTTTTTTTTATTGAAATACAGTCAATTTCAATGTGTCAACCTCTGGTGTACAGCACAATGTCTCAGTCACGCATATACATACATATATTTGTTTTCATATTTTTTCCATTAAAGGTTATTGCAAGATATTGAACATAGTTCCCTGTGCTATACAAAAGAAACTTTATTTTCATAACTTTCAAAAATAACCTAATCACTAAAAGATTCTCTGACATACAGATTTTTTTATTTTAAATTCAGTGAGTGAGAAAAGACTAGTTCTTCAAAGTTCATATTATGAATAATATTCATTCAAGATAGCAACAAAGACTGCAAATCAGATATCTGATAAGGGACTTATATCCAAAATATATAAAGAACTCTTACAATGCAACAACAAAAAGATGAATAATTCAATCTAGAAATGGGCAAAGGATGTGAATAGACATTTCTCCAATATATACATATACACATTGCTGGTGAAACTGTAAAATGGTACAGCCACTTAGGAAAACAATTTGAAATTTCCTCAAAATGTTAAACATAGAGTTACCATATAACCTAGTAATTCTACTCTTAAGTATATACCTAAGAGAATTGAAAACGTACGTCCACATAAAAACTTTTACATGAATGTTCATAGCAGCATTACTCATAACAGCCAAAAGCTGAAACATCTCAAATGTCTAACAACTGATGAATGGATAAATAAAATGATGTGGAATATTCATACAATGGAATACTGATCAGTCAAAAAAAAAAAGCATATATGCTGCAACATGGATGAATCTTGAAAATATCATGCTGAGTGAAAGAAGACAAACATAAAAGACCACATACGATATGACTCCATTTACATGAGATGTCCAGAAGAGGTAAATCTATAGAGATATAAAGCAGATTAATGGTTGCCAGGGTCTGGAGAGAAAGGGGAATAAGGAATTACTGTTAATGGGTACATGTTTTCTTTTGGGGGTGATGAAAATTGTTCTGAATTAATAGCAGTGATGGTTGTGTAACCCTATGAATACATTAAAAACTACTGAATTATATATGTTAAAAGGGTAAATTGTATGATATGTGAATTATATTAATAAAGCTGTTTTTTAAAGCATCAAATAGAAATAAAAATTCTGATAAAGTCATTGTGTTAAATAAAACAAAGTTTAGAACTAAAGTTATCCTCATGTATTAATTTGTTACATTCTATTTAAATTCATAAATGTTTTTAAGAATTTATGATCATATGACATAAATCATAAGCTGCTCAGTCTTTATCCTGCTGGGAAAGGATGACTTGACTCAAATTTGAATTTCAAATTTTCCTTTATTCAGATAAACCAAATCTGTAAAATAAAAATTCCAAATTCAAGGCCAAATTTAATTATCTATGTCTATTTAAGTCCCAATCTTCTAGTATATCTGTCTGCAGATGGTACCCATGAAGAGCTTTCAGAAACAGACATCCACAGGCACATTTGCACTTACACCTCACCTTCATGCACAGCTCCGCCTTGTCAAAGCCCATCAGCATGTTGATAATGTCAAACCCAGAGGTAGACTTATTCTTTTGATGGACTCCTCGAATGAGTGCACACAATGTCTGCAGAGATGAGAGAAAGAATTCTTTCTAGAAACAAAGTCTCAAGACACAAAGGGCACTGGATCAGTAACCTCACACTGCAACCTCAGAACCTCCTCCTTACACAGCTGACATTCAATTGCTCTATTCTCTGAGATCCAAAACACAGTCCAGAAATTAAAACAGGAACAGCAACTGAAACTGTTGTCATTCTCTTTTTTTTTTTTATTGTTTTCAGGCCATCCTCTTTTTAAAAATTACAGTGCAGACAAAGACTGGAAGGTGATATTCAAAAATAAACAGTTCTTGAGTTTGAGTCATGAGATTGGTGGAACTTTCCTTTATTTAAAACTAATTTTAGTATTTACACTATAGTTTATCATTTTTAGTAGTTATTTTTAATAATTACAGAACTCCCTATATGATAGCAACCAATCAATTTAAATCTTAAAAATTCATTACAGGCCACTCTCGCCTTTTAAGATGGCTGGTGTTCTGCCTATGGAATGTAAATCCCTCTAAATAAACTTGCTTTCACTTAAAAAAAAAAATTACAGTCCCCATCCTCTCTTACTAGCTGTTTGAGCCTGAACAAATTAGTTATCTTTTCAGTGCCTCAGTTTTCTCATGTATAAAATGGAAATGATAATAACAGCATTCATCTCATAGGAATGTTGTGAAGGCTATGTAAAGCACTTAGAACAGTCCCTGGAACTTTCTTAAAATCCCTGGAATAGTGCCTGGAACTTAACTTTGTTAAAGCTTAACAAATATCAGTTATTACAATAATTTACTATATTTTTATGGGTCACCAAGTGGCTTAATGTCCACTGAACTAAAAAGAGTTTACAATTCATGCCTCCACAGTGAGCCACTGCAATTACAGGAAGTATAATTTCCAACTTTCATTTCAACTTTCAATGAGTCTTTACAACCATGATACTCAAAATGTAGAATTTACTGGCCAAAAGTTAACAAAGCTACAGGATAAACATGGTCCTTCTTTCGGGGCATCAGCTCAAGAAGAAATTTCTACATTCTACAGACGAGAAAACTGGGGCTCACAACTGATATGCCCAACTTGTAAGTTAGAAACTAAAACCCAATTTACCAAAAGTTCCAATAGAATTCTTTATGCTGCCATGGGTACTTCATATTCTAAGCTTGTCAATCACTATCCTAGGTACTCAGCCCAATCTAGGCTACAGTGGAGCTACTACACTATAAACTTTAGAAATTTTGCCCAGCATTCATTCAAAAAAAATTTACTTCTAGAGTGCTATTTGCCAGGCACTGTTCGACACACTAGAAACAAAGCACTGAATGAAATGATTCTTGCCCTCAAAAGCCTATAACATACCCCACTAACCCAATGGTTGGCACATAACATTCAAGAAATAACTGTTCAATGAATCTTCCTCATGATCATGTCACTTAGAATTAAGAACAGAGATTCTTAATGTTTTTTGAGTTATAGACCATTTTGAGAATTTGATGAAAGCCCTCTCTCCAGAAAAAATGTACATATACACAAAAAATATTACATATAATTTCAGGGAGTCAAAGACCTTCTGAAATTTCAGATTAAGAACTCTTGATCTAGTGAGAAACTACTAAGTTTATTTAAGAAAATACTGTTTATTTTTTAATTAACATATTCTTCTGATTTTTGCTGTAGACTAAGCATCCCTTCCTGAGTTTTCTCTCTATCTCCTTTTCTCAAGTAATAATAGGAATTCTGGGGAGAGAGGACATAGCTCAGTGGCAGAGCTCATGCTTAGCATGGACTAGGTCCTGGGTTCAATCCTCAGTACTGCCACTTTAAATGAATGAATCAATCAATAAATGAATAAATAAATCTAATTACCTTCCCCCCATTAAAATTAATTAAATTTTTTAAAAAAAAGAATTCTGTCAAACAATCTGCCTTGGCATTAGATCAAATTATACAAATGGACAAGACTACTACTATAGGCATTAATTTGTTCAATCAGGAAGATAGTTAAACATGGCACAGATGTTTGATTACTTAAAGGAATAAAGAAAAGAAAAAAAAAAAAGAAAACATCATACCTAAGGGTAATTCTAAGTTCCTCAAATTTCAATAGATGTATTACAATTTCTTTCTCATATTAAACAAGACTTCCCCAATCTCCCAGCTTTGTACCTGCAATGCATTGACCACTCGAATTGGATGTTCCTCTCCCAGAGCCTGGATGCAATGTTGAAATAAGCAATTAATATTGTCCTTGATCTTCATTAACTCCTCACCATCAAGAGATTCCAGCTTGCCTTCTAGGTACTCTAAATTCACCTACCAAGGAAACAATAAGGACCTGAGTGCATTTTTAGTGTAGCACCTAGAACACATGAGAAGGCAATCTCAGTTACCAGCACAATCCACAGATGCCACCAAGTCTTACCTTCATGAGGAAGAGTTCCTCCCAAAATCGAGGACTGCACTTACTTGGGTCCTCGGTCTAAAACCAGAAGATAAGCAGATTCAGTGTCCCCAACCAACATCAAAGCATTAAGAATACATTTGAAAGGGTCACTACACGTAATCAACCTTACCTTTCACAATAACTTTGAAAATGTTTGGTCATTCCAAACAGCTGTAATAGGGAACAGCAGCTTTTTGAGTTTTTTTTCCCCCAAATGGAACACATTGTGCATGGATATAAATACCCTACACCAAAAGTTAAATAATGGCTCAAAGAATCTCCTTCAAAATTTTCTTTCAATATAGGGATGGGGTAGTGGGAGGTACAAACTACTGGGTGAGAGGCAGCCTATAAGGATATATTGTAAAACACAGGGAATACAGCCAATATTTTATAATAACTATAAATGTAGTATAACCTTTAAAAATTATATTAAATTTTTTAATTAAAAAAACTTTCTCTTCTTAGCAAGAAGTGAACCTAGCCATCCGAATCAGTTAATCATATTATTTGCATCGTGCTCAGTTTTCAAAGCCCATTCACACATATGAAATACAAAGGCCCAGTGAGCCAGGTAGGGTACATATTATCATTCTCCTCCTTTTGGGAAAGAGGATCCACAAGACTTGACACAAGTGCAGGGGTCAGAACCCAGATCATCTAAGAAACACTGCCATGATTTTTATAACATCCTGCTTCTACTTGCCCTCCTAAATGAATTTAGTCCTCTGTATAGAGCCTTTAATATACTCTGTTCTTAATTCAAATTGGTCCAAAAGTTTACCAAAATTAGCTAAAATTTAAATTTTCTTAGCAATGATTTTCAAACATAAATCTAGGAAGTTAGAGGCTTCTGATTGATGAGTGATATAAGAAAAAGAAACCCCTACTTTATAGGAAATCTAATAACATAAAATCAATAGGTCAATTGCCTGCTGTCACTTTACTTTAAGCTGACCTTTTAAAAGTACTACCAAGAAGTAATGTCTTCATTAGTTAAGAACTCCTGATCCTAAGAAAACTCCTAACTCCTAAGAAAATACTATACTAGGAATCTCTTCTGGATTTTTAATTGAGAATGACATAGCAAAGCAACATTTCTGGCCTTCTCATAAGGTCCTCATTAATGAAGTATTTCTACCCCTTTCTCTCTAGTCCTGCTTCCCCAAGAGGAGCCACATATTGACCCTCACACTTCTGTAATGTCATTTTGTTGTCTATATATGAAAATCAGGGAATTCATGGAGTTGGCACTTCCTATCTTCAAAGCTCACTCAAGCAGGAGTCACAGGTATGCCAAGCTTAGTTAAGATAGAAAGAGCCTGGGAGGATCCTAGTAACTACTCATTTTTCTCTGTACAGCCACCTGTACTGACCTGGGTAATTCTGTATTAACTGTCTGCATGTCAAACTCTGTCTCTAAGGCTTGTCAAGAGTTAGATATTTTAGTTGATCAAATTATTTATCCTAGGCCATGCGGCAAAGTTGAGGAAGTAAGGACTCTGGAGTCAGACACTACGGTCCAAATCACGGCTCTGTCACCTTCTAGCTGTGATTGTGGTTTTCTCATTAGAACACATCCTTTTACACGACGCATGTCAAAACACAGCCCTCTTTCATGTATTTGGTGATGCATTTAGAATAATGTCAGGCACATAGTAGGAACTCAACATATGGTAACTCTTTTTACAAGTATTATTGTTTTACATGGACTACATATGATTAGGATTTCAGAAGGCAAGTACCTCTGCAGGTTATCTAATTACTCTAATCTTCCCTAATAGGGTATATTTTACAACACAGGCTTGACTATGGTTAATAAGCAGTTCTGAAGACCCAAAGAAATCCACAATCCAATTGCTAATAATTCCTTAGTCATCTCGTAGAGTTGGAAGACAAAAGTCTAACTAAGCAATTGTTCTGTCCACTAACAACTTGAGATGGAATATAATAGTGCATCTTTTTAAAATATGTGAACCATTGAATTCTAGGGCCAAAAGGAATTTCAAGGGACATCTAGGACAGACAGGTCCTTAAGTCAAATCATAAGGAAGACAAGTCCTAAAGATATTCAGAAAAGAAGCTTCCTGAGCCTTCCTCCCTCCTTTCAATTGTTGTACCCAGCTCAAGGCAACAATCTGTAAGAAGAATATAATAACAATCCATATTAATTAATACATGATCATAATTTCTACTATGACAGAGCTTACTCTCACTCTTCCTCGCCCTCTTTTTCCCTCTGAAGATATATAGAAGGTAGAGGTAAGGTTATTTCTCATTTGGAACCAGAAACTAAGGAGTCAAGCTGTGCAGAATGTCAGGGCTCCAGACCTTACCATGAAGATCTCATCATACATCAGCACCACTTTTTCCTTCAGTGGTTTTTTGGAAGCTGAAGATTTCCGGAGCAAACCTCCTCGTTTCTCTACCTGTGCCATGGTTAGAGAATCTGTGAAGAGAAAGACACAGTTAGTACTAGAAATGCTCTCTAAGATGCTGGAGAGTCTATTGAAATTCCTCTCAATGGGAAATTTTTTAGGAAGGAGAAATAATAAACAACCATGCTATAGATCTTGTGCATCTGTCCAAAACCCCCTCCTCTGACCGCGTAATTTCAAGGTTTAAATCGTTACTTGGCCTACAGTCCAACACATTTTACATCCTTAAAACATGCCAGTGGACAAGGCTTAAAGCAGATCCAAAACCAAGCAGGAAAGTGTAACTAGCTCCATCTATAATAGGTCTGGCCATATATTTGAGGTTGATGGAAGGAAGGCTGCAAAGCACATACTGCCCATAGACTGATGGTGAAGTTAAATTTCAAGTATTGATCTAGCTGAGAACCATTAAGGCAGGAAGTGTGCTGCAGACTGATGTGCTCCATTGATTTCCCCAAAGTAAGTAGGTCCTCATCACTGTAAAGTACTTGGCCTTCACTGCCTCATAAATCACACTGCACTTGACTGTCTTCAGAAATTCCTCTGGAAAGAGAGAGACCCAAGGCAGAAAACAGCAGTTAAAAGATCAAAAATTTAATTTAATTTCAAAATAACCAAACATAATAATATAGTCCTTTCAAATTTAATTTTATATATATATATTTATAACACTATATTGCAGATCAAACTTCAATGTATAGTTTAATTCTATATGAAAGCAGTTCCACGAATCATGTTCAAATTTTTCTGTCTTGCTTCAAGGAATTCTCAATTTTTTTCAAGTGAGAATTTGAAATCCCATAGGTCTCCATGTGGCTTTACACATATTCTCTCACTTCCCAGATTCTTTCTATTGCTGACAAAATTCTTATCTTTCTCTTAAATCCTAGGCTCTAGTTGTGAAACTTAATCTCACTCAATAGCAAGTATGGGTGTAGTGAGGAGACTGATTTTACTTTCAGACAAATCCAAAAGAGCAGAACAAAATTCATTTTGTTCAATGACACTTGGAAAATATGCACTATCTTTCAAATCAAAATCAAACTTTTATTTAAAGGAAGAGGTGCATCCAATAGCATAAAGATTGTATCTCAGACATTGTTTTTCTCTAACACATATAGCCAAAAAGGAGATTCACCTATGAGCAAAAAAAACACAGAAAATTTCCTCAACCAGATATTAAGCATCCTTAGCACAGGGACTATATCTTATACTTTTTTTATTAGCACTTGGCTCATGGTAAATGCTCAGTGTATGCCTATCACTGACTGTTTCTAAGTGTGGGCAAGGAGAGGACATGAAAAGTCCCAGGTTTGACCTAAAATTTCAGTAAGGCCTATTTCTATCAAAGTTTCAATAAACCCTCTTACTCCTTTGTAATCCAGAGAAAACTGAAGGAAAAAACAACAACAAAAAAGAGAAGATTCTTTTGGGCAATTCATACTATATTGATCATGGCTTTGCTTTCAGGCATTAAATAAAGGCTCCCTTCAAAACATTCCTGTGTCTTTTAAATAGGTTGTCAAGAGGAAGATGTCCTTATTGGGGGGGAAATAAATTGGAAATCAAGAGGATTCTATTAAAATATATCAAAAGCAACGCAATTCTAAGCTTAGTGGATATAGATCTTTTATGTGCTCAGCTTCAACCAGGTGATTAACAGGAACAGCAGGAACCACAAGTCCCTGGATGTGAAAAGCACAAGCTTACAAACATCTACCTCTGAGATTTATAATTGGATTACAGCTAATCAATGTCCACCCCAAATCTAATAAACTTATTTTCTCTATTTCAGAATCAATACTTTCTAATAAGCAAAAGGGAGTAGGAGAGGAAGGAAAAATAATACCAATTCAAAGTAACAAATTTCCTAAGAAATTAAATTCATTTCACCATTCTCCTTCCATTTGGAGCAGGGGGAAATTCAACCAAGGATCTCAACTCATTACTCTGTCATCATCAAAGGCACCTGGAATTCACCACCCAAGCTGTCTGAAATGTGACTGGAAACACAACATAAAGTCTCCTCCTCCTGTCAGCACTTCTACCCATAAAACACAGCAAAGAGAGGTGTTTCTTAGGGTAGTAGACTGGGAGAAGTGTGGAACTCTTCCAAAAGTCTTTCTGAGGTCTCAGAAATCAAGCCTGTGCTGCCAAATTTGAAAGTAAAATATCTGACTGGTAGAGCAGTAAATTGCAGTACACCAGTATGTGAGTGTAATCTGTTTATATTCTCCCAGTGTTTTTTTCCTCTTTCACAATCCTCCCCTGTTGTAAAAGAGAGAACCAGTACCAGCTGAGGAGCAGCAAGGCATAATGGAACAAACAACCAGCAGAACTGAGACTAGAACACTGCTCTCCCAATCAACTAGATGACACTCAGTAAGTCACTGTTCTTCTCAGTTCCCTTACAAGTAAAACAAGGGGATTGGGCTAAACATATGATCTAGTGATTCTCTTAGCATTACTGGAATACCACAAACACATGAGGAAAACCTAAATATTGTAAAGCACTAGTTTAGGCACTAAGGGGTTACAAAGAAGGAACTCCAGGCCTGATCCTCTAGTAGCTCACAATCTATTGACAGAAACATGCATATAACCCATAGCACAAGGCAAATCATGAGGAATAGATTAAAAGTACAATGAAAATGCTATGGGACCACACAGAAGAGAAAGAAGCATTTTGTGACTGCTATGACCTCGGTTAATTCAAGTTTTTAAATACTTCTAACAAAGAAGCAAACACAGAAAAACCACAGCAATCCCACAGAAATGTCATCTTAGGCTTTAACCAGGAATAAGACATAACAGACAAAGTATAAAAAAGAATCAGGCAACTTTTCAATACTCATTTCACCTACCACCAAACTTAGGAATGGCTTCAAATCCCCCAAAGTCAATGGTAAATCAATGAAGTCTTTCATTCTTAACCCTTAGGGACCGCTGGTCCCATGACATGCAGCACAAATTCTCTGTGAAAGACCTAAGTTATACAACCTTTTAAGAACTATATATTATAGCAATCCAGCTACACACTTTTTAAATGCATATCACTTCACATCCCTACAGGATAAAACAGACAAACTTCGAGATTTTAAAGCCTAAAGTCAAACACTTTCGATGTCTAATATACAAGGAATGCTAGTTACTCTTAACTAGTTTGTCGTTTGTTTTATTGACTTCTTGAGCACATTGCATGCCAGTTCTAGTATCAGAATATTAATTTAACAGAAATACACTAACTTCCAGAGTTACCACAGTTAATCTATCAGAAGTCTTGGTATTGTACCTATTTGAGATGATGGAGGTTAACTAAATCTACTTGAAGAAATCATTTCACAATATATGTAAATTAAACCATCATGGTGTACACCTTACACTTACAGTGATGTATGCCAATTATTTCTCAAAAAGACTGGAAAAAAACCTTTAAAAAAAAAAGTCTTCAGTTTTAGTCCTAATTTTTATATACTCATTCTATAACCTTAAGTTTCCTTTCCCTCCCTGGGCTTCAATTTGCCAATCTGTAAAAAGAAGCCATGGCAAGAATATGCACAAAAGGGAACCCTTGTGCACTATCCGTGGGAATATAAATTGGTACAGCCACTACGGAAAACATGGAGCTCCCTCAGATAGTAAAAATAAAATTACCATATGATCCAGCAATCCCACTTCTACTTATATATCTGAAGGAAATAAAATCACTATTTTGAAGAGATATTTGCACCCTCATATTCACTACAGCATTATTCACAATAACCAAAACACAGAAACAACCTAAATGTCCATCAGTGGACAAATGGATAAAGAAAATGCAGTATATACACACAGTGGAATATTATTTGGCCATGAAAAGGAAATCCTGCCATTTACAACATGGATGAATCTTGAGGGCATTACACCAAGTGAAATAAGCCAGACAGAGAAAGACAATTTTTTTTGAACAAGACAAATGTTGTATGATCTCACTTATGTGGAGAATCTAAAAAAAGCCCAACACAGAAAGAGTAGATTAGATTGGTAGTTGCCAGGGGCTGGGGGATGGAGCAAATGGGGAGATGCTGGTCAAAGGGTACAAACTTCCAGTTACAAGACTAACAAGTTCTGGGGATCTAATGTATATAACATGGTGACTATGGTTAGCAATACTGTATTGTGTATCTGTAAGTTGCTACAATTGAATCTTGTGTTCTCACCACAAAAAAAAAAAGAAAGAAAAAAAGTGACTTTGTGAGGTAACAGATCTATTAACTATTGTGGTAATCATTTTATCATATTATCATATAATTATCATATATAACCTTAAAGATATAGATCAATTATATCTCAATACATGGGGTTGGGTCATGGAACAGCTCTCTGTAGGCTTTCAATGCATTAGTCTGGGGTTCTAAGTTCATACTTTTTTTTTAAGGTTGTTTTTTTTTCCTAAGTTCATACTTATAATGGACTGTTAGCAAGTACTGTCCTCTCTTCTCTGCTCAGGGAGACTCCAAAACACTAGTGTAGGTAGATGCTGAGGTAAACATCCCAAAACATTTCAACCAGTATATAAGAAAAGAAAAAGGAGAAAAGAAAGAAAAAAGGAAGGGGAAAGAAGGAAAATGAATAAAAATAAATGTGACCAGAAATCACCTACAAAGAAAAGAACATGCACAGATCAGGCATTCATTCATTCATTCAATGAATACTGATAACCTTTTAGGTGCAAAGCACTAGGGACATAGCAGTGAACAAGATAGACAAGATCCCTGCTCTCAGAGTTTTCATTCTAGTAGAGGGAAGAAAGACAATAAACAAATGGAGGCAATGATATGTATGTTGAAGACAAATTGTTTAGCGGGACTATAATAGATTGCAGATTAAAGTAGGCCTCTATGAGAAGTGATACGTGGGCTGAGATCACACTATCAGGAAGGAAACAGCCATGTGAAAATCTTGGGAAAAGTGTTCCGAATGGAGGCAATGGCAAGTGCAAAGGCTCCAAGATTTGAACACACTTGGCATG